AAAACAAACAAAAAACCACAACAAACAACCATAACACAACAAACAAACCATAACACAAACAAACAACTATAACACAACAAACAACCATAACACAACAAACAACAAAAACTCACAAATAAACAAACTATAACACAACAAACAAACCATAACACAACAAAACAACCATAACACACAACAAACAAACTATAACACACAAAAACAAACCATAACACAACAAACAACAATAACACAACAAAACAACCATAATAACACAAACAAACAACCATAACACACAACAACAAACCATAAACACAAATAAAACAAATAATACACAACAAACAAACAATAAACACAACAAAACAACCATAACACACAACAAACAACCATACACAACAAACAAACAATAACACACAACAAACAAACCATAACACACAACAAACAAACCATAACACACAACAAAACAAATAACACAACAAACAAACCATAACACAACAAACAACCATAACAAAACAAACAACCATAACACAACAAAACAACAATAACACAACAAACAACAACACAACAAACAAACAATAACACAACAAACAACCATAACACAACAAACAAACTATAACACACAACAAACAAATAAATAACACAACAAACAAACTATAACACAACAAACAACCATAACACAACAAACAACCATAACACAACAAACAACCATAACACAACAAACAACCATAACACAACAAACAAACCATAACACAACAAACAACAATAACACAACAAAACAAACCATAACACAACAAAAACAACCATAACAACAACAAACAACCATAACACAACAAACAACCATAACACACAACAAACAACCATAACAACACAACAAAAAACCATAACAACAACAAAACAAACCATAACACACAACAAACAAACCATAACACACAACAAACAACCATAACACACAACAAAACAACAATAACACAACAAACAACCATAACACACAAACAAACAACCATAACACACAACAAACAACAATAACACAACAAAACAACCATAACACACAACAAAACAACCATAACACAACAAACAAACCATAACACAACAAACAAACTATAACACAACAAACAACCATAACACAAACAAACAACCATAACACAACAACAAACAAACACACAACAAACAACAATAACACACAACAAACAACCATACACACAACAAACAAAAAACACAAAAAAACAAACAAAAAACAAACAAACAAACCAACACAACAAACAAACCATAACACACAACAAACAAACCATAACACAACAAACAACCATAACACAACAAACAACCATAATACAACAAACAACCATAACACACAACAAAACAAACCATAACAAACAACAAAACCATAAACACAAACAAACAACCATAAATAACACAAATAAAACAAACCATAACACAACAAACAACCATAACACAACAAACAACAATAACACACAAAACAAAACCATAACACACAACAAAACAACAATAACACACAACAACAACCATAACACACAACAAACACACACACAAATAAACAAACCATAAATACAAACAAACAACCATAACACAACAAACAAACCATAACACAAACAAACAACCATAAACAACAAAACAACACAACACAACAAACCATAACAACAACAAAAACAACCATAACACAAACAAACAAACCATAACATACAAACAAACAACCATAACACACAACAAACAACCATAACACACAACAAACAACCAATAATAACAACAAACAACAATAACACAACAACATAACAACAAAAAACAACCATAACACAACAAACAACCATAACACACAACAAACAACCATAACACACAACAAACAACCATAACACAACAAAACAACCATAACACAACAAACAACCATAAAACACAACAACAAACTATAAATAATAAAAACAACAACCATAACACACAACAAACAAACTACAATAACAAACAAACAACCATAACACACAAACAAAAAACCATAACACACAACAAACAAACCACAACACAACAAACAACCATAACACACAACAAACAACCATAACACAACAAAACAACCATAACATACAAACAAAACAAACTATAACACAACAAACAACCATAACACACAACAAACAACAAACACACAAAAACAAACATAACACAACACAACAAACAACCATAACACACAACAAACAAACCATAACACACAACAACAACCATAAACACAACAAACAACCATAAACACACAACAAAAAACATAACACAAACAACAACCATAACACACAACAAACAAACCATAACACACAACAAAACAACTCAACACACAACAACAACCATAACACAACAAACAACCATAACAACACACAACAAAACAACCATAACACACAACAAACAAACTATACAATACAACAAACAACCATAACACACAAACAAACAACCATAACACACAACAAACAACCATAACACAACAAACAACTACACAAACAAACAACCATAACACACAACAAACAACCATAACACACAACAAACAAACTATAACACACAACAAACAACCATAACACAACAAACAA